ACAATCCAGAGGTGCCTGAGCGAGAGAGAGCTCAGTTCAGCTCTGGAGAGAAGCTCAACTGGAACCCCATCTGAGGTAGAATAAGGTCAGAAGATCAGATTTACTTTCTTTTGTTCGGATGGGTTTTGTTTTGTTTTTCAAGACAGGGCATTAGATTTGCTTAAAGCATTGCTTCTAACTGGTCATTTCCAAGCATGGAACTTGCTACCTGGATCAGAATGACCTGGAGAAATAGCTGATACAGCAGGTCCTTGCCCTTAACCACCTGACCACCATAGCTCACACCTTAATAACCTAGCGCACAGAAGCTTAGGACACAAGCCTTTGAAAAGAAAAGGCTAACGGCCATGTATCATTCTGTAAAAACTTTCTGACTTGCTCACCCCAATCGGCGGTTTTAGAGTATAAAATGAGAATGCACACTGGTCCTGGGCCCACGGCCTTTCAGGAGCTATCCTAGCTTTGGTCCACTCTTCTCTTCCACTCACAATGATATTGGGAAGTTTATTCCAGAAAGATTCCCACAACACATTCCACCCACCCACCCACCCATCCATCCACCCACCCATTCATCCACTCACCTGCCCTCTGATCCACCAATCCATCTATCCATCCATTCATTCACCCACCCACCCACCCACCCACCAATCCATCTATCCATCCACCCACCCACCCACCAATCCATCTATCCATCCATCCATTCACCCACCCACCCACCCACCCACCCACCAATCCATCCATCCACCACCCACCCACCCACCAATCCATCTATCCATCCATCCATCCACCCATCCATCCACTCATCCACCAATACATGCATACATACATCTACCCACCCACCCATCCATCCATCCACTCACCCACCCACCCACCCACCCATCCACCAATCCATCCACCCACCAATCCATCCACCCACCCATCCATCCACCCACCCACCCATCCATCCACCCACCCATCCACCAATACATGCATACACACATACATACACCCACCTATCCATCCATCCGTCCACCCATCCACCCAGCTATCATCTGTGTATCTATCATCACACTAACATCACTTGCTATTTATTATCTCACTTGTTATATACTTGTTGCAAAAAGGAGCGGCAGGCCGCTTTCGGTCGCCCGGCTAGCTTTACCCGAAATAATTACACGGGAACTGTATTCATTTAAAACACCGCATGGCCCATTAGTTTCAGCCTCTTATTGGCTAACTCTCACATCTTGATTAACCCATTTCTGATAATCTGTGTAGTACCACGAGGTGGTGGCTTACCGGGAAGGATCTTAACCTGCGTCCATCTTGGAGAGGAGAGCGATAGCGTCTAACTCACTTCCCTTCTTCCCAACATTCTGTTCTGTCTTCCCCACCTACCTATGTTCTGACCTATCAGGCCAAGCAGTTTTCTTTATTAATTAACCAATGAAACAACAAATAGATAGAAGATCCACCTATATCATATACTTAATGAACTCACTCATACAAAGGCCATAGCCAGAAGCTCTTGGAGGCCAGAATTGCCTGGTAAGTCAACCCTCTGGGTTGTTTTTCTCTTGTTATATACATTTCTATTTGCAATATGGTATGTGTACATGTATGTGGGTGTGCATGTGTGTGCCATAGTGTGGGCTTGTGAAACTTGGAGGGAAGTTTGTAGGAGTCAATTCTTTTCTTTCATCGTGTTGGTTCCAGAGGTCGAATGTAGGTTGTTAGCAGGCTTGGTGGCAAGCACTTTTACCCAGTGGAGCACATCAAAGGCTCTAAAGGTGGTTTTCTTTTCTTTAGACAGAGTCTAAAGTCTACTGTAGTGCTGGCTGTCCTGGGACTCACTAAGTAGACCAGGCTGGCCTTGAACTCACAGAAATCCACCACCATGCCCCACAGTTCTCAAGGTCTTATTTGGAAACCAGTTTACTTTAATCTAAAATTTGCAAAGATGTTGAAGGGCGTTCTTGTGCTGAACTCAGTGGGAGTCACCTGTAATCATAACGCTGAGACAGAGGATGGCTGTGAGTTTAAGTATCAAGAAGGAGAGGGAAGGAATTAGAGAATTTTTTGTGTGTGTGGTATGTGTGGTAGATGCATGCAGGCACACATGGAGGATGTTGTCAGTGTGTGAATACCAGCCCAAAGCCCAAGGATCCAGGCATCAAAGTGAGACCAAGCATTTAGCACCTCAGGTGGCTGTTTGTGGAGAGGCTGCCTGGCATTGCGTTTCTGGCAGCAGCAAGACCAGTTGGAAGCTGGCTGTGCCACAACACACTTGCAGTCTAGATATATCGGGAGTAGAGCCTGGAGGATCAGAAGTTCAAAGCCAACCTTGGCCTCACAGTGAGTTAGAGTTCAACCTGAGATCCATAAGATTCTGTCTCAAAAAAAAAAAAAAAAGAAAGAAAGAAAAAGAAAATAAAAGAAAGAAAGATAAAGAAAACTAAAAACCAAGTAGCTCATGGTGGTCAATGCCTGAAATCCCAGCACTTGGAAGTGGAAACAGAAGGATCTGAACTCACTACCAAAAGCCCCAGACCAAAACAACAACAAGGCCTGGAGAGATCAGCTGGAGGGGGTGGGGTTATGGCACTGTGAGAAGCTGGGGAAGTATCTATGACCTTCATTGGCAGCAGAGTGAGGAGCTTCAGGAGGCAAAAAGGCAGTTCAGCACACAACTCAGTAGCCACTGTTGGCTCAAACTTAGGGAGTCCGACCCTGAGTGATTTATTTAAACACAGCAGCATCTAGTGAAAACTACTCGTGATGACTAACTCAGTCTCTCATGCACAGCAAAGCGTGCCTAAATCTCTTTGAGGAGCAAAGGAAGCTACACCCAGAACAGATGTGACTACATCAAGTCTCTGTAATAAAATGTGACACTTTCCATAAGACAGGTTTCACAGACTGAGAACACAAGTGTATGAGAAGGATCTGGTGCTGGGAAGTCTCTGGCCACACAGACTGTGCACAGGTCACCAGGCCTTCTGGATGGAAGACAGGCCTTTCATTCCTTCCCTTGAAGGAGCAACCCTGTGTGCTTAGCCTCCCAAGTTCCTATAGTGTATATATGCGAGCACAAAGACCTCTGTGCCTCCTACAGACCCCTATCATTTGGGTTAGAAAGATGGGCATATGAACAGATCAGGGCAAGTGTGGAACACACGTGGTTGGGTTTTTTAAATTAATTAATTTATTTATTTAAGTGTATAGTGTTCTGTCTGCATGTACACCTGCAGGTCAGAAGAGGGAGCCAGATCTCATTACAGATGGTTGCAAGCCATCATGTGGTTGCTGGGAATTGAACTCAGGAGGGTAGCCAGTGCTCTTAACCTCTGAGCTATCTCTCCAGTCCTCCTCCCTCCCAATGGTTGTTTTAAGTAAAAGACGGAGGCTCATCCCTGAGCAGATTCCACACACCTCTAAAGGCTGTCCATGGTGGTTTGCTGAGGAGTTGCGCAGGAGAGACCCACAGCATCCCTTTCCAGCAGAGACGCGGCTACCGCTCAAGCTGGTCACCATTGTATAGTATGCCAAGTCTGCAGTCACCCAGCTTCCTCTGTCAGCGTCACGTACGACCGTGGAGCCTTTACCACTTCTAGAGAATTGTTGGTAACCGTGGGACCACATTCACTGAGCCACAGATTGCTTAAATTTCATCAGTTTTCCCTTCTCTGGTGCAGGGTTCCACCCAGAAAAGTCTCATTTGCTTGCTGACAATCTATATAGTTTCACTCAGTTTTATGTCCTTGGCACCCTGGAAGTTCAGTGCTCCCTGTGATGGGGCACATAGAGACCTGAAGAGAACTCTGGGAGCCACTTCACTCCATCTACCGTGTGTGCTTTGCAGATTAAACTCAGGTCACCATAGTTGGCCACAGACACCTTCACCCCCTGAGACTACCCCCCTTTTTGAGATGGGGTGTGGATATATTGCGTGGGTTGGCTTTTGCCTCTCTGGTGTCTAAGTCTTCCTTTCCCGACATGGGTTCTGGGGACTCAGACTCAGTCTGCATGCTCAAACTTGTTGGTTGCTACCACCTCAGACCTGGTTTTTTAAATTTTAATTAATTATTTTGAGACTGGGTTTCTCTGTATAGCCCTGGCTGTCCTGGAACTCATTCTGTAGATCAGACTGGCCTCGAACTCAGAGATCCGCCTGCCTCTGCCTCTGGAGTTCTGATAGTAAAGGCGTATGCCACCAGTGTCTGGCTGTTTTTATTTATTCATATATAAATATTTTTATCTGGAGATATTCTTCTTTTTTCTCTTTTCCCCCTCGGTTGCAAGTAGCTCAGGCTGGTCTTGACTCCCTACAGGACCACGAGTGACCCTAAACTCACAGACCTCTTCCCTCCACTGCCTGAGGACTGGGACCGTAGGTGTGTTCCTCCTTGCTCAGCTTGCTGTTTCCTTCAGGGTGTCACTCTCTGTGGTTCAATCCAGGATCCAACTCGAGGCAATCTTCTTGTTTTGGCTTCTTTTAAAAATAAAAAGAAAACGACTTGGGGCTGGAGAGATGGCTCAGAGGTTAAGAGCATTGCCTGCTCTTCCAAAGGTCCTGAGTTCAATTCCCAGCAACCACATGGTGGCCCACAACCATCTGTAATGGGTCTGGTGCTCTCTTCTGGCCTGCAGGCATACACACAGACAGAATATTGTATACATAATAAATAAATAAATATTAAAAAAAAAGAAAACGACTTATTTTTATTTACCTCTATATGTATGTGGGGGATGTACTGTGAGTGCAGGTACCCTCACAGGCCAGAAGAGGGCGATGGATTTCCCTGGAGCTGGGTTTACAGGTACTGGGAGCCTCTCAGTTCCTCTGTAAGAGCAGCAACCAGCAAACTGTCTCCCTGCCACTATTTTAATTTCTTAAATGCTGGGATTACGGTCCTATGCCACCATCCTCAGCCTCTGCTCATATTTTAAAATAATATTTTATTAATTTTTTGCTCTTCAATTGATGTTTAAATTAAAAAGAGTACAAAGATAGTGCTGGAAAATGTTGGGTCGTACACTCAGCCCTCTGGTTTTCTCCAGTCAGGGCTGCTTTCTTCACCCCTCTGTCTAGGAGGAGGGATCAGCAAAGGCCTGCTCCATCAGAGTCAGACTTCTTGGTCCTCAGTAATTTTATTACAGAATGTTCTTGAATAAGGGAAAATAAGTATCTACCTGGTGTGTTCTCAGGGTTAGATTGAGGTTATAAGATTAGGGTAAATGTTCTCAGAAGCCAAGAGCAGTGGCTTTACCTATCATTCTAGCACCGAAGAGGCAAAGGCAGGAGGACTCAGAGTTGAGGGCCAGCATTACACAACAAGACCATTTCTCAAGAAAAGGAAAGGAAAGGAAAGGAAAGGAAAGGAAAGGAAAGGAAAGGAAAGAAAAGAAAAGAAGAAAAGGGGCTTGGGCATGGTGGCGCACAGCTTTAATCCCAGCATTTGGGAGGTAGAGGCAGGTGAATTTCTATGAGTTCAAGATCAACCTGGTCTACACAGACAGTTCCATAGCAGCCAAGGCTACATATTGAGACCCTCAAAAAAAGGTGCAGGTGTTTGTCATACAAGCCTTCCAAATAAATTCAGTACAGGGAATTGGCCGGGCATGGTAGCAAACATTTTCTTTTCTTTTTATTTATTTATTTATTAAAAATTTCCACTTCCTCACCACCTCCCATTTCCCTCCCACTCTCCCTTCTCCCTCCCCCTCCCCCTCCAGTCCTAAGAGCAGTCAGGGTGCCCTGCCCCGTGGGAAGTCCAAGGTCCTCCCCACTCCATCCAGGTCTAGGAAGGTGAGCATCCAAACAAACCAGGCTCCCACAAAGTCAGTCCATGCAGTAGAATAAAAACCCAGTGCCATTTTCCTTGGCTTCTCAGTCAGCCCTCATTGACAGCCACATTCAGAATGTCTAGTTTGATCACATGCTCCATCACTCCCAGTCCAGATGGCCTTGGTGAACTCCCATTAGATCAGTCCCACCATCTCAGTGGGCGGACGCACCCCTCGTGGTCCTGACTTCCTTGCTCATGGTCTCCCTCCTTCTGCTCCTCATTTGGACCTTGGGAGCTCAGTCCAGTGCTCCAATGTGGGTCTCTGTCTCTATTTCCATCCATCACCAGATGAAGGTTCTATGGTGACATGCAAGATATTCATCAGTGTGGCCATGAGACAAGGCCAGTTCAGGCACCCTCTCCACTGCTGCCCAAGGACAAGCTGGGGACATCTCCTTGGACCTGGGAACCCCTCTAGAGTCAAGTCTCTTGCCAACCCTAAAATTACTCCCTTAATTAAGATATCTACTTCCCTGCTCCCATATCCACCCTTCCTCCATGGTAGCAAACATTTTCATTCCTAGCACTCAGGAGGCAGAGACAGGAGGATCTCTGTGAGTTTGAGGCCAGCCTGGGCTACAAAGTGAGTATAGCTATGTAGAGGGACCCTGCTTTTAAAAATATAAACAAACAAACAAAGACTTAGGAATCCAAAGTAGGATAAGACCAAGTCATGAACGTTACCCTCTGACCTCCACAAGAGTGTCATGATGTCCTTGCACACATACACACACATCAACAGTAACAAATAAAATAAAAAGAAAGAAAAAAAGGAAAAAAGTATTTTCCTCAGACCCGTCACGTGTCTATGGCTCACAGCTGAAGGCTTTGACCTTGGCCTCTTGGTTAAGGAACTTTCTTCTTCCCTCCAGTTACTTTCCCTTTTATTTGTTCATTATTTGTTTATTTTGAGGCACATTCTCATGATGTAACTCTGGTGGGCTTGGAACTCTCTCTGTAGACCAGACTAACCTGGAACTCCCAGAGATCCCCCTGCCTCTGCCTCTCTAGGACTGGAATTAAACGCAGGCAGCATCGTGGATAGTTTCACTCGACTGTAAAGACACTATTCTGATCCCTAAGCCAGGGAGGAGGTAAGCCTCACCTCCTGGAGGAAGGCGAGACTGTAGTCCAAAGCCCCAGGGATGTATACAGAAGGTTGGCAATGCCAGACTCCTCGTTACAGTTTCATTCCCAACTTTAGCATCCTTGATTGGGTCTTGCCCCCTGGCTGAAATCATAAACTTCAGACTTGGTGAAAGGCTCAGGGGGGGGGGGGGGGGTCTCCCTGAGTTTGAGGCCAGTCTCATCTACATAGCAAGTTCTAGGCCAGCCAAGGCTACACAGTGAAACCCTGTCTAAAAAAAAAAGAAAGAAAAGAAAAATTCCCACCCCCAAATTAAGGTGGAGAAGGATAGACCAATGTTGGCCTCTGGTCTCTGCATGCACACTCATGGGTAAAGCATGCTTGCACACATGTGAACACATAATCTTACATACGTGCACACATGCCCCTTCCCTCTTGATTATTCCTGCCTTGGCCTCATCAGCCTACGACTCAGCTGAAGTGAGGCTGTGGGTCTACACATGCAAGGTTGTGTCGGCTCCTCATGCTGGAGGGCTTTTAGTGAGTACTCCGGGCTTTGCACTAAGATGAGATCACCTAATGACAGTATTTCAGCACGTCTCCATCAATAATCAATACATCACTCCGGTTTAGTCGCAGTCTTGAAGCTCCCCAGAAGCCCTTGTCTTTGCTGGAATACCCCTTCTCCTACACTGCATAAAGACAATCGCTTTTCTCCCCTTACCTGGAATTCAAGGACAGATGCTCATTTCCTTGTTTATGACCTGTCCAGCTCCTTGGGTTCTCAATAAACCCTATGGCGTATGTTGGTTCCTCTGCCGCTGTAATAAGAACAGCCAGCAGCTTCGGAACACAAGGGCCGTGTATTCAGGAGAGCTCATTTTATGTCTTTTCATGTGTAAAATAAAGGACTGTTGCAGAGATTTGTACGCAAAACTTGTACACGAAGCAGCCATGAGTAATGCTTACTACCATCATTAGTATGGTCGGCTTAACAGAGCTTCCCCAAGGACGTGCAAACTCAGAACCATGCCTGACCCATGCAGAGCAATTTTTTTAAAACTGCCTGATGTGACCGATGCTATCGCTGCCACTGCCGTCTGGAAGATGATTTAGTAGCAATCATTCTTTTTTTCCCACCGTCTTTTCCTGGTCTCCTCCCTGGCCGCCCAAGGATGCTTCTCAGGCCTCCGCCCTCCACGTCTGAGCCAGAGCCAGAGCAGGGGTGAGGATTCTGGTCCTGTGGACCACTGGTTCCCATCGCCCCGCCCACAGGCCTGTACTGCTCGTGGTCTCCACGGAAACCCACTCAGGGGCGTGTCAACGTCACGCTTGACAGGAATCTTCGCCTATTCAGTTAAAGTTTTCTGGCCGAGGAACATCAGAATGGCTTCTGAGTGGTTTATCCTTAATGAAGGGCGGGGATAAGGCGGGAGCTGTTACCATGTCTACCAACCAAAAGCCGAGATAGCTTTGATGGACAGGCGTAGCGGGAAGAGGCCAGGAACGCCGGTTGTCACCCAACCGGCTGGCCACTGTGAGGAAGAAAGGCCAATCAGAAAGCGGAGGGGGCGGGGCCAAGGGACCGGTTGCTCCGGAAGTGGAGGGAGGGGGTGAAAATGGCGCCCAGCTCGAAATCGGAGCGGAACAGCGGGGCCGGGAGCGGCGGCGGCGGCCCTGGGGGAACCGGTGGGAAGCGGGCGGCGGGGCGGCGGCGGGAACACGTCCTCAAGCAGCTGGAGCGGGTCAAGGTGAGGCTTGGAGCCTGAGGCGAGCGCGCCCGGGAGTGAGGAGGAGGGGACGCGGGAGGCGACCGAGGGAG